CCTGCTGAGAAAAATGTCAAAAATGCTGTGCAGAAAAGCTCAGTGCGGAAAGTGAAGATCACTTACAACCCTAGCTCCCAAAGATCAGCGCACTCTGCATTTTGTCATGTCCATTTCCAGTTGTTTTCTCGGCACAAGTCGCAAATATCTATCTATCTATCTATCTATCTATCTATCTATCTATCATCTTCACAGATACACACATATATACAATATATGCATTGATATGTATATATTTACAGAAATGGAATCCATCAATACGTACTAATTTCTTTTTCATTTTTTTAAACTTTTTATTTTATATTGGAGTGCAGTTGCTTAACAATGTTGTGAGTTTCAGGTATACAGCAAAGTGATTTACATAGTATTTTCTTTTCTGCTTTTTATTAACTATGTATCATGACAGTTTAACATAGTAAAGGATCTTCTGCCACGTGATTTTTAGTGGCTGCAAAATGTTCCATCACGTGACTCTATCATAATTATTTAACCCATTCCCTGTCAACAGACCTTACATCCTTCTTTTTCATTATTGTAACTAGGCAGTGGGATGGACCCTGGCAGAGCCGTCATGATTGTTTATAAAGAAGAGGAGTTACACGCACAATTTTTACCTCTTTAATATTTACTTCCAGAAAGTTTCTAAGAACATGTATTGCTTCCAGTGGTGCCTGGGAATGCCACCACTGCCCTCGGGTGCTGTGGGGTACTGCACAGTGTGGAGGCCTGCGAGGTGCTTGATGGTCACTACCCCGGCCCCCTCTTCTTTGGTGGCAGAAGTGACTCCCTAAAAGTGGCTTGTGATTATTGTTGCTTGCTATGTAGTATCCTCGTGGACATTCATCTGTGATGTAGCCAAGAACTCTGCTGGTCCCGTGAGGAGCCCATTAGAGCAGCCGGCAGTTTACATCTGTGTCCTGCTGTCCCATATGAGGATGTAGAGCTGCCAGTCACGGGGCTGAAGTTCGTCAGTCACTTAGTGGGTACCTCTCTTTTGTCCTCCATACTGCTCACGTAACTACTAACTTCAACTCTCTTTGTCACCTCTTACTACTCACTACCACTTACTAAACCGCATTTTAGCTGCTTTGTGGTTTGTGGGGACGTCCCCATGATTCGGGAGATAATATAATACTTAATGAGCTAAAAGACTTGTCTTTTAAAAAATAAATTTATTTATTTATTTATTTTTGGCTGCATTGGGTCTTCGTTGCTGCGCGCGGGCTTTTCTCTAGTTGTGGCGAGCGGGGGCTACTCTTCGTTGCGGTGCGCGGGCTTCTCATTGCGGTGGCTTCTCTTGTTGCAGAGCACGGGCTCTAGGTGCGCAGGCTTCAGTAGTTGTGGTTCACGGGCTCAGTAGTTGTGGCTCACGGGCTCTAGAGTGCATGCTCAGTAGTTGTGGCTCACGGGCTTAGCTGCTCTGCGGCATGTGGGATCTTCCCGGACGAGGGCTTGAACCTGTGTCCCCTGCATTGGCAGGTGGATTCTTAACCATTGCACCCCCAGGGAAGTCCGGGGGAGGAGGTCTTAATATCTGCCACTTAAAAGATGAATCAAGAGTTCAAGACAGGTTAAGTGACGTGTACAGAGTTAGGAAGCTAGTTAGTAACAGAACTTGGTGTGAAACTAGAGATGAATCCGAGGTCCCCCCACCCCCTTCCTTGCGGAAAGCCTCATTACTGCACTGTACAACCTGTGCATATTAAATGGGTTTCTTCTGTTTAATTCATAGAATTAAGTTCCGTGAATTATTTCTGGTGGATACATGAGCGCTCACCTTACAGAAAGAGCCGCACTTTGTGCACTGGGGTGGGACAGACCGGATGGTGCCATGCCGCGTCGGCGCAGCGCAGGCTCTGCTGGGGGACCGGAAGCAGAGGGTTAGCGCCACGGGGCACTGGTTCTCCAGGATCTGTGCAGAGGGCTGTGGGAACCGATGCCCCGTAGGATGCACTGCAGAAGGGGGACCTAGCCCTCCGCAGCGCCACCTCATTCTAGGACAGTGGAGAACAGCTTTGCAAGGACTAAAATCTCCCCAGGCCTTGTGGGGTGTCGAGGCCACGGGCAGCCCCTGCTGCATCTGCTCCAGCCGGCTGGTTCAGTTCACACACTGGGCCTTAAAGATGTTTATAGCAGCATGTTCTTTTTTTTTTAGTAATTACAAAAACCTGGGAACCACGAGAATGTCCATCAGTAGAGGAATGGTTGAATGATGCATGACTTGTCATACTGTGATTAGATCTATAGGTATTGATCTGAAATAATACCTCTCGGAATGTTGCTGGGATTAAATGAGATGGTGCTGGGCATATTGCAAGAGCTCAGTAAATAGTTGAAATTAATACTCATAATGCCTTTAAGTCTGGGTAGCTCACCCTATCAGAATTTGAGATCCATGAATGCTACCGATTTGAACACCAGTGCAAACTCTTAGAAACACTAAATATACTATACTGTAAGCTTTGGCCAAGTCCAAATATTCAATGTTTAAGTGTCTTACTAAGTTATTCCGCCTTGTTTCGTGATAGCAGCACAGAGTGGAAGTACCTAGCTTATTGTACAGTATTCTTTCACAGAATTTCCGTTTTGGTCAAAATATATTAGTGGGAAAATTGAAGACACTTCTCAAGAGACCTTGATTCAGTAAAGAAATTTCCTTAAAATTAATTAGAATACCATAATAATATATTTCATATAACCATAGAAATGACTTATAAAATGCTTCAATGTAATGAATTTGGAATTACGTGTCATTTAACGGAGGAGCAAAGGGAGAATTAGACTCGAAAACAGTGTTCTTGGGATATTGAGTTTCCACGACTGTGTCTCGTTGATTTAATGAGAAAAATGTCCTTGGTCTCAGTTTAATTCAAGGAGTTCTGTTGCTACATCTTAGAGTTTGGGTGTGTAATGTCAAATTGTATAAATTTAGGCAGAATTTAGAAGACCTCCCCTGTCCTTTTCTTACAGTTCTAAGAACAAATGAGCCCCAATTCAATATTTTTTTTGCCCATGAGGACGGTTTTCTGATTTTGTCCTTTCAGTGCATTCATCCTGGTAAATAGCATACTAATGGTAAAACAATTAAACCACTAATTTAGACCTTATTTATCTCAAGTTGTCATGGAAGAGAAGGAAGTGAGTCCCTGAGGTGAATTTTCCGAATAACCCAGTTACTGATGATTCTAACAAAAAAGAATTCTAAAATTAACTTTTTTTTTTTTTTTTGCGGTACGCGGGCCTCTCACTGTTGTGGCCTCTCCCGTTGCGGAGCACAGGCTCCGGATGCGCAGGCTCAGCGGCCATGGCTCACGGGCCTAGCCGCTCCACGGCATGTGGGATCTTCCCAGACCGGGGCACGAACCCGTGTCCCCTGCTTTGGCAGGTGGACTCTCAACCAC